AATTCGAATAGAGTGTTTAGGAATTTTTCTTCTTTTTTTTTTGTGATTGAATAATCGTGCAATTGAATCCGGCTAACCTTCCTTGCGATACGACCCGGTGTTGAATCTTTCGATTCTACTCCGGTAAAAATAATCACAACAGCAAGCAAGGTCGTATCCCAAGAGACAAAACAACCAATTAATCAAGTACTAGATTATGATAGTGCCAATTTTATAGACGACCGAATATAAGATTGATTAACTAAACTAAGAAAATAATTCAAAAGATAAGAAATCGATAACAAGAAAACAACTAGACAAACACTTCAGAAGAATATATGGGAATGGTAGATTCTAAGACTATGGGTTCAATTAACAGTTGGGTTCCTTCAAATATATCACAACTAACTATTTTCTTTATCTTCCCTATAAGATGATCACAAAATTAGCCTATCATCCCTCTCGAGATCGATAAAACCGTAGATTAAATCACATATATTAGTGTCTCCACTCAACACATGCAATTCAACTCCAAATTGATTAAAAGATCTAAAATCCTCACAATTACCTACTAATCTCTCGATTCAAGCAAGTAAATTATGTCAAGTATTAAAGACCTAATATTGAACTCATCTCTCGAATTATGAACAATATTGTCAAACATGTAAAAGAATTGATCAAGTTCTAAACATGGAATAAGAACAAAATACTTGAATAGGGTTCAAAAGAAAAAACAATCAATTATAAATAAATCATCCAAAATCCCAACATATTAATCTACTACCAAGTCTTAGAATCAATAAATCTAACTACTCATTTCCGAATTAAAAAACATAGACATATTCAAAATCGACATGATCAATAAAAGTTCAAGAGGAAAGAAGAAATAAAAACTAGGAATCTCGTCGATCTTTCAATCTCCTTGATCCCTTCGTAGTTGATCTTCTTTTTTCTTCCCAATTGCTTCTCCTGTGTGTTCTAGGGCTCTTCTCCTTGTATTCTCTATGTTCCCCTCAGAATAGGGTTAATATGCTCTTTTTAATGTCAAAAACTCCTCTCCTTATCCAAAAAGGCAAGAGATTAAAAACTATCCGCGCGTGCGACACGACCCGACACGCCCGTGTCACGGGTCGTGTCGCAGGTCGTGTCACATATACTGCACTTGCAACCCTTCTGTTGGATAACACGGGTGGTGACACGACTTTGGAGCTCGTGTCACGGGTTGTGTCACACCATTGTACGCTCATTTTCGGCTCGTTTCACTCGTTTCTTCCATTCTCTTCATCCGTGCATCGATCTATCATTATCTCGGGAGTCTCAGGCACTCACCATGCTCCTCCAATAGCCAAAGCTCTACAAATATGTGAAAATATCTACAAAACAAGCACGTGTAATACCTTTCCAACAAATATAGAATTAAAGCACAAATATGCAGTTTATACACAAAAAATGCAACAAATAAGCTAGATACTATATGAATATGGTGTAAAATAACACATGAACAAACCCCCAAACTTAAACCATTGATAGTCCCGATCAATGCATCTCATTCCCTCAACACACAAAGAAAAACAATCACAACTCTCAAAGTCGATCATACACATCATCAATAGTCATCAGGCAAATAACATACTAAATTCTGAAATCTTTAAACAAAAAGAATGCTTCATTAAAATCATGGTCAATACTTTCAATCCACAAACCTCACCGGATAAGTGTATACTCTCACTCTTGAAAGTGTATAGGGAAATTATCGCTCAAATCAATTCAATGTCAAAGAATTACCATAAGCTTGCAAATCGTCTACTATCTCGACCACTTATAGTGCATGCATTTCATGAATCAAAAATGACTTTTTATTTGGTTGTAATGTAGGCTCTTTGGTTAGGGTAGGAAAAATATGGACAAAGTGACGAACACTTGAGCATCTAGAACTAAAAAACATGAACCACAACAATTCATCTCCTTATCAACATAACCCATCCACTACCCAAATTCAATCAATTCTCTTTGCTCAAAATTCCTCTCACTATGGGAGCCCCGATAACCCACCGCGTCGGAGTTGATGAATTGCCGCTATTGCTGGTCGTCTTCCATTAGAGAGTCCTTCTCTCTTAGATTGTTTTCCTCTATTTTCAGTTCTCTCTTCAGGATTTTAGCTGTCCTGCCCTAATTTTTCTTCTTTGTTTCTAGGGTTTCCGCTTCAAGCTGTGGAGGATTTGCAATTTCCCTTTGATTCACTAAGGCTAATATCTCAGCTGTAGAGTCATGGAAGAAGAAGTTGTTCACAAGCTGACATCCTTTCAATTATCATCGAGAGAAGCCAATCTAATTCCCATCGATTTATCGGACACCCATAATAGTGCAGAAGTTTATAAGCGCAGTCTCTTTGGGAAAATCCATGGCCAGAAAAAAGCTCAACTTCCAGGTCTAAGAAGGGCAATTGGAATAACCTGGCATCTCAAGGCTCTAGTCACGATTCAAGAAATCAGTGATAATTATTTTTAATTCGTGTTTGACAATATTGAAGACAAAATTAAAGTGAGCAAAGGCACTGGATGGACCTTTGAAAATCAGTTTCTGATCCTTAAAGACTGGCAGGTGGATCTTCACGCTGATCATCCAATCTTCAAAGAACTTGACATGTAGGTTCAAGTGTGGAACCTTCCCCTTGATTGGTGTTCTACAGCAGTTGGGGCTAAAGTTGGCAGTGTCTTCAATCAGGTAAAAAATGTCTCTATCCCTCAGAGTGGCTGGCTAGCAGGTAAATGCATTCGTCTGCTTGCCACCATTGATCTTGATCAACCATTAATGAGGTGTGCATCTCTAATGCTGCAGAATAGAAAAATTCTAGTGGAATTTAAGTATGAAAAGCTAGTCAGCCTTTGCTTTTATTGTGGCTTCCTAGGTCACCTAGACAGAAATTGCGAATTGAGGTCCTATGAGATCAAGAATGGCACAGTGAAAGAAGGCTTATTTGGTGAATGGCTTAGAGCCCAAGACTACCCTCACCTTCATAAATATTCCCCTAATAATGGTAACTCTGACTCCCCTAAACCCAGCTCCAGTTCCCCTTCTAAACCTTTCCCTACTGATAAAGCTGCATTCCTTTTCTCAGAATCAGATGATCAACCCCCCCCCCCCCCCCCCCTTAAACCCCCACCTCCTCAACCTTCTCCATCCCCTCCTGTCATTCTTTCTTCCACCTCTTTGGTCCATTCCCCTACTCTCAACTTTCAATCTGAGCAACTAATGGTTGTTGAAACCTATTGCCCCCCTGATATTCCCTCCAAATCCATTCCGTTAACCTCTGATTTGCCACCTAACCTTCCCCTCCCTGCTAAAACCAGAAAATGGAAAAGAAAACCTACCTCAAAGACCACTCCAAACTCCCCCTCTATTCCATCCTCCTCTCCTTCCATCACATCCCCCTCCTCCATTGTCACCAGAGGTAAAAGACAGCTTTCTATATGCTCCTCTCCTGATCTCATCCCCCCCTGCCATTCTGACCCTTCTATCACCCTTTCTAATTGCCCCAAAAAACAAAAACT